TAGCCGAATCTTCTAAAATTAATTCTTTTGGTTACCTCTTTGATCAGTATGACTAAATGGTTGATTAATTTCTATCTCAATTATAGGCCAACTCTAACCCTTTTCTTCAAACCATTTTAAGATCAAGGATTTGGGCTCTATCTTCTAGTTTTCAGCAGCCCACCCTTGCTTTATTATTATTTTAGGACCCAACCCATTTCCCTTCAGCAGCCCATTTCAATTTTTTGTTCCTCTCCAATTACTCCCAACCCATCCCTCATTATCAAATTGACCCAATCCTAAACCCCTCACAACAACAACAATAATACATACAAAACAGATGCGTACAGCTCACCCAAAACAGACCCCACTCCTGTTCATCTTCTTCACGCCAACGACAAGAATTCCAAAGGCGTCGTACAGCAGCAAGGGCAGCATGGTTTCGTCCTTGGGGCTGCGAGATGATGCCACGTCGAGTCCCAAGGACGGAAGATCGATCCCAATCGCCCATTTCCCTTTCCTCTTCCAGATCGAGTCGAAATTGCAGAGAAAGGATGTCTCCCCCGAATTGGGAAAAGAATTTTCAAATTTTGAATTTTGAATCCGCCCTAATTTCATCGAAATTTCCCCCAAAATCCGAACCCTATTTTCCCCTCTATATATTTGCTTGTTGTTCACTAAAGAGGGGGTATTTTTTTTGGGAAAAAAAAAATATCTTGAAAGGAGATATTTTTTAGTTGGAAATTTAGTGCTAGAGAAGATAGTTGGAGAAAATATTGAGAGGGACTAGCTGAAATCTGAGGGGAAATACAGTGAACCACTAGCTTAAATTTCACATACAAACGTCAGGAAATAAATTCCAGAAGCAGAGGGAGTGAGAGTTCCGACGTCGATCGAGTCCTTGCTCGTTTCTCTATTCACGTGAGTTCATCGGAGTCGTCGTTTGTGGTGGTAGGAGTTCTGCTCGTGTTGTCCCCGTCGCTGCTCCAAAGAAGGTAAAAATCCTTTCTAGTCTTTATTCATTTCAATTCCTGGTCTGATTGCTCTGCTTAAAGGCTGTTTCTTGTAAGAGCTTTTCTTTTCTGTTTTTGGTGTGGCTCCTTTATAATGCTATCTTCAATCTAGCGTATTGTTCTGTTATGCTATTCTTGCTGTCACGAGAAGCATGCTTCGTTTCTACATCCGGTTTATTGAATATGCCACCAATTTGCGATTGACTTGTGTTTTTCTATTGAAATTGTGAACTCGGGTCCATATGTTTGGCGTCTTGCTGCCTCAATGATGAATATTGTTGTTATTTATTTATTTTCCTTCTGCTCTACACCAGCATAACTATATAGTTACGTCGACTTCGTTTTAGTTTATTTTATTTTTCTTTAGTTTTATATAGTCTTGAATTTGACTCAATATTAAAAATAACCAAAGAGTATTGTATATGTGTGAATTGGTAATATAAGTTGATAGTTCATGTTGCATTATATATTAGTGTATGTAAGAGGTGTCTTCTTGCCTGCCAGAACAGAAATAAGCATATAGATAAGTTAAACTCTTGATTATCAATGTGTTTAGTCATTATTTTCATTTCATAATAAGCCATCTATAGCTCTATTCAGTTTCCTTTTTAAATAAAAATAAATTTTGTTAGCATGTTAGCACATTTGACCGAACCAGTGGCATTATTTGATGGATTTTTTAGATGAAATGATCTTGTTCTTTGAAATATCCTTGGCAAATTCCTTGCTTCGTGTGTGTTTATTTAATTTTCCAGATTTACATTGAGGTATCGCTTACCGTGGTCCATTTTGGGTATAAAGTTTGTCTATTTTGTCTCAAAAGTGTGGATTTAGAGTGTTTGGATTGGACAATTTGTTTCAATTTGTTCCAGCTAGTTGTTTGTTGTAATTTGATCGTATTGTTGAAGCACGCTATTTCTTCCCCCCTTTTTCTCTACTTGAAGCTGTAAAAATGTTGAAGTCCCTTCGTTTATCTATGTCATTTACATATTGCTTTAATCATACTATTTTTGCAGATTTGAGCATGTGTAAATTTTTGACTTCATTCTAGGATCACATGGGCATTCTCTTACTTTGTTCAATTGTATGATATTATGATACGTATTTTTCTATTTTGTTTGGAGTCATTGTTGGTTTAAAGAGAGGGGAAAATATTAATTTATTCATGCTTGTCATTTAGTCAAATTAATATTTGTTTACTCTTTTCTATCTTTACATCAAAGACTTGGCCATATTGATTCTTATTAAAAAAAAAGGCATGTCTTGACCCATTTGTTCTCTGTTACTCATGCTTATTAGCATATATTTGTTCTCTAATTCTTATTGTTGCCTTACTGTTTGTATGAGCTATTAAATATCATGTTGGTCAATCGGTGTGTTTCATTTTTTGACATGGTTTCTCCAAAATTTTAATGATCATATATGGATTTGAGTGTTAAATAAATATTCCAGTAAAATTTTAACTTAAATTTTTTGTTTTAAAAAATAATAATAATAATTTGTTATCTTTTCTTTATTTATTTATTTTGTTTATTTATTTTGCATATTATTGACTGAGCATAAGTTGACATGAGTATTGATCTTGTTTTATTATTATTATTATTATTATTATTATTATTATTATTATTATCATTATCATTATTATTATTATTTTATATTGTTTCTTTTATAAAAAGGGTTAGCCGTATATTCAAAAATCAATTATGGTGCAAGTTGTCATCCTTCTACTCAGTTGAAATTATAGAGTTGTGTTAATCCCTTTCTGTGATGTTACTGATTATTCTTTTCTTTCATTTGTATGAACTCATTGCCCGAGTCTCCCACGGACTCTATCTTTGCATTTCGAGAGAGCCATAAAGGCTCAAATCATTTCCCTTCCGAGTCAATCAGCTATAAAAATCGACGAACAGGTCCCGAGGTTGAAAGAAGCAACAGATCAATAATTTGGAAAGATTGGGTCAAAGGCCCACATTTCATTTTTTGTATTTTGTTATTTTGGGCCTAAGCCCTTGTTATTAAATTTTGCTATTACTTTGCTAGTTTTATGGCAGGTGGAAAATTGGGCCTAAGGCCCAAAAGAAAGAATGATTACTTTGTGTTAGTCTAGAACAGGTGTAACTCAAATGGGCCGAAGGCCCAAAACAAAATAGGCCCAAATACTGGTCCAGGCGGACAGAAACCAGATTTGGGTCCAACTCTCTTTCCCTCTTTACTTTACTATGTTTGTTTTGCTTATTAATATTTGTCGTTAATCTTAGGGTCGAAGAGTTCAAATCCCCGAAAGACGCTCATTTCGTTTTAACAATTTAACTAAATCGATCATCCTTCAAAAAATTTAAAAGCATAAATTTTGAGAAGCATCTCACTTAGATCGTAGGTCAGTATTTCCCTTTTTCCCTTTTATAACTGTCTCAACTATAAAATAGTTCAATCGTTTTACTCAAATTAAGTTAAAATTATTTTAGCCAAATAATTAATTGTTGGATAACCGCGTGTTAGCGGGCATTTCGGGTGCTTTCAAACCCTTCCCGAAATGCTAATATGAACCTCGAACCCTCTTTAAATATTTTCATTAGATTTATTGTTTTAATCTTTTGAAAAAATAAGTTTTCTTGATTTTTCTTAAAAATTAAGTGGCGACTCTAAACTAGTCTTAAAATATATTTTCCTTATAAAACACATACATGGAGAACTTATCCTATAATTTATAGTGCAAAATAGTGAGATAAACAATTTCGAAATTAACTAAGAATCCTAACAAATACAACATAAAATAATCTTAAGTTTTATCTCGTGATTATTCCCTTATTCATCATACCAAATAACCCCTTAATGATATGAGCATTTTGAGGAAAATAGTACGAATTTGACCTAAAACTGACAATATTACATAATATTAAAAGACTAAGAGAGTATTATCTCTGTCTCAATTTATATGATGTTGTTTGACTTGATACGAAATTTAAGAAAGCCTTCTAAAATTTATGATTTAAAAAAATCATAAATATTTGTGCGTGACTATAGATTATCTCGTTAAGGATGAAATGAACATTTTAAAGATAAATTATTGCTATTAAATATTGAAACGTGTCATTCTATTTTAAATAGACATAAATGAAAAATGCCACATAAATTGAGACATAGTATGTGTTATGTATTTACTATACACAATTATTTAAAAAAATTACATTAAATAACTATACTTAGGATTTTATAGAAAATCTTCCCATCTCTCAAACTCACACTCATCTCTCCCCTTCCCCATCTCTTGCTCGCCTCTCTCCCATTCTCATCACCTCAATCTATCTTTCACCTGAATTGAAATTCAATAAGCAACAAAAAGCTTGAGGTTTCAGATGAGATATTATTGATACAAATCAGACGAGAGATGACGAAAACTTTGATCTCTTCTTCCTCTTCTCCTCTTCAATTTCCTGCTCAGACTCTCAATATGCCTAAACTAGAGAGAAATCCAATCATATTTTGAAAAAATATACGATACATGACACATATGTATAAAAGGGACAAAATACAGTTGAATACATTGAAATAAATTTATAGCCTGTTGCATATACACTCGAATACGTTGATACATAGTGAATACATAAGGAACATATACACTTGATACAATCATATTCATTTATACAGCTTAATATAATTATATCAGTTGATATAAATCAGTTACATTAATTATATTCATGATACAATCAAATACAACAAATACAACATATATTCATCGTCTCTCTCATCTCTCCTCTATTTTCCAATCTCGATCGCTTCCCTTTTTCTAATTATAAATCACAATTAAATAAACTATAGCTATAAATTTCCAATTAATCTCAAATCATAATCATATTTAAAGTTCTTCTAAAACTATCACAAATTTTTTTAAAATATATTTATTAACTCAACTTATATTCACTTCTAAAAAAACAGCTTAACTACTCATTTGATACTCTTAAAATAGCCACCGTATATATACTATAATATAATAAAATATGAATAAACATCCAAAAACCATTGCGAAGAAGTCTTTGAGAAAAGGGTCAAAGTAAACTTTCTTCTTCTTCTGAAGCTTCTTCATCTTTCTATGTGCCTCTTATTGTTAAGGGCTATTCTTGATTTTTTCTCACAGGTAATTTTCTCACAATGGATTTCTCGTGCTTTCAGATATGACATGATTTGAGCTTTTGTTTGAAGTTTTTGGAGTAAAATTGATTGTTTTTAGCGAATTTGAGGTAATGGGTTTCTGGATAATCTGTTAAGTTATTAACTTTTTCTATTGTATATCTTTTGTGGGTATTTGTATTTATGTGTGATTTGAGCCTTTGCTTGAAATTTTAGAAGTAAAATCGATTGTTTTTGGAGTAAATTTGATTGTTTTTAACGACTCTGATGTAATGGGTTTCTGGGTGATCTGTAAAGTTATTAACTTTACTATTGTATATCTTTTGTGGGTTTTTTATATTGATGTGTGATTTGAGCTTATGGTTGAAGTTTTGGGAGTAATTGTGATTGTTTTAACGAGTTTGCTGTAATGGGTTTCTAGGTAATCTGTAAAGTTATTATCTTTTCTCATTTTCTTGCACTTTCTAGTTAATTGTGTTTGCTGATTTTCTGAGTTTTGTGTGTGATTTGAGGTTTTGATTGAAGTTTTGGGAGTAACAGTGATTGTTTTAACGACTTTGATGTGATGGATTTCTGGGTAATCTGTAAAGTTATTAACTTTTCTATTGTATATCTCTTGTGGGTTTTTGTATTTACGTGTGATTTGAGCTTTTGCTTGAAGTTTTAGAAGTAAATTTGATTGTTTTTAACGACTGATGTAATGGGTTTCTGGGTAATCTGTAAAGTTATTAACTTTTCTCATTTTCTTGCACTTTCTAGTTAATTGTGTTTGCTGATTTTCTGAGTTTTGTGTGTGATTTGAGCTTTTGATTGAAGTTTTGGGAGTAATAGTGATTGTTTTAACGACTTTGATTTGAAGTTTTAGAAGTAAATTTGATTGTTTTTGGATTAAATTGGATTGTTTTTAACGACTGATGTAATGGGTTTCTGGGTAATCTGTAAAGTTATTAACTTTTCATTTTCTTGCACTTTCTAGTTCATTGTGAGTGCAAGTTTTTTAAGTTGTGTGTGTGTTTTGATCTTTTCATTGAAGTTTTGGGAGTAATGATTATTGTTTTAATGTCTTTGATGTAATGGGTTTCTGGTGAATCCATCAAGTTGTTTTCTCATTTTCTTGTTTCTAGTTTTGACAGGGAAATTTTGTTTGCTAATTTCTGAGTTTTGTGTGTGATTTGAGCTTTTTCTTGAAGTTTTAGGAGTAATGACTATTGTTTTAACTACTTCGATGTAATGGGTTTCTGGGTAATCTGTGAAGTGATGGACTTCTCTCATCTTCTTGCACTTCCTATTTTTGACTGTGATTAGTTGTAAAAAGAGGGAAATTGGGTTTTGCAAATATCTGAGCTTTAGTGTGAAAAAGACTTTTTTTTTTTAGCATTTGTATGAGAATTGGAAAATCTTGGTTTTCTTTGAAGACAGGTTATTTGAGCTTGTTCTTGAAGTTTTGGGAGTAATAATGGTTGTTTTGATGACTTTGATGTAATGAGTTTCTAGGTATTCTGACAAGTGATTAACTTTTCTCATCTTATGCTTTCTAATTTTGACCGTGATTGGTTGTAAACGCAGGCAAATTGGGAAATTTCTGAGTTTTAGAGGGTGAAACGGCTATCTTTTGAATTCAAGCTAACATTTGTTTGAGCACTTGTGGAAACTCATGATGGGCCACAATCTCTTTTAACAATTCTCTAGCAAATTTGTGTGTTTTGAAAGCGACCCAGAGCTGGGACTTGAATGGAAATGTGTATTCGCAAAGAATTTGTATGATCAGGTGGGAGCTGCTTCACTTGAATTTATCGAAGGAAATCAAAGTGATAACACTTTTGGCTGGTTGTATACGTATGTTGGGAATCTGAAAAGTTGATCTTCCCTGTCAGTAAGGATTTGTCACTTGTAGTTGAGCTTCGCCTTGTGAGTTTCATTTCAAGGGGTTGTGATTTGGATTTGAACTTACCATGGATGAAGCTCCTTGCAGCGTCAATGCACTGCCGCCGTTTATTGCAAAGATATATGAAATGGTGGATGACCCCTCCACTGATCCAATAGTCTCATGGAGTACAAATAATAAAAGTTTTATTGTTCGTAATCCTCCTGATTTTGCAAGAGATTTGTTGCCCAGATACTTTAAGCACAATAATTTTTCCAGCTTTATCCGACAGCTAAACACTTACGTGAGAAATTCGTTTTACTTGATTCATTTGCAGTGATATTATTTTTAAATTGAGTTTCAGTCTTTTACTGTTTTTGTTCTTATTCTCATGTCGTTTGCTCTTTTGTCAAACCAGGGATTCAAGAAAATAGATCCTGAACAATGGGAATTTGCAAATGAGGATTTTCTTAGAGGTCAGCCACACCTTTTGAAGAATATCTATAGACGGAAACCTGTTCACAGTCATTCTGTACAGAATATTCATATCCTTTCATCATCTGCATTGACCGAATCGGAAAGACAAGGGTATAAGGAAGATATTGAAAAGTTGAAGCATGAGAACGAATCGCTTCATTTAGTACTACACAGACATAAACAGGATCATCAAGGACTTGAAATGCAAATGCAGGTCCTTAACCAACGTGTCCAACAAGTGAAAGACCGACAAAAGAACGTGCTGTCTACTTTAGCTCGAACCATAAATAAACCAGGATTAGCTTTGAGTCTCATGCCACAACTGGAAATGAATGAAAGGAAGAGAAGGTTGCCAGGAAACAGTTTTCTTTACAATGAAACAGGCCTTGAAGATAATCAAGCGAGTTCTTCTGAAAAATCGACTAGGGAAAATATGGACCCAACTTCTCTTTTGACTCTCAACAAGGAAGTGCTAGATCAGTTGGAATCTTCTTTGACCTTCTGGGAGTATACACTGCGTGACATTGATCAAGCTAGAATGAGACAGAGCTCTTCAATAGACTTGGATGAATCCATCAGTTGTGCCGATAGCCCTGCTATATCTTACCCACAACTAACTGTTGATGTTGGATCTAAGGTTTCTGATATTGACATGAACTCTGAACCTAATGGAAACACTACTCCTGATGTTACTCCGCCAGAAAACCGAGTAGAGACTGCTAGTAATAATGTGCCAACAGGAGTAAATGATGTATTCTGGGAACAATTCCTTACTGAGAACCCTGGTTCTACTGATGTAAAGCCGGAAAGGGAAGATATGGAGCGCAAAATAAGTGAATCCAAGACAGTTGAGGATGGGAAATTTTGGTGGAACAGGAAGACTGTAATTAGCCTTACAGAACAGTTGGGACATCTTACTCCAGCAGAGAGAATGTAATGTGGCAGGGTATGTACTATTTTTGATAGCAAATGTTTTTTTGCCTGTTTCTTGTTGTAAATTTAGAGAAAGTAATTTGTCAGAGTACATAGAATTTTGGTATATTAACCTTCTTTTTTTGTTTTTACCTTGTTCGGCATGACATGATATAGTGAATGATAGAGTCGATCAGTAGTAATGCTAGTCTGGCACAATTTCATGTTTTATGTAGTTATATTCTTTCCAGCCTTGCCTGTCCATGTTACCGATTTGTGTTACATAAGGTAAGAGTAATTTTTCTAGCACTCCTTTTGCTTTATTTCTCTTGTTATCCTTTTAATGTATGAATATGCAATGTTTGTATGAGTTGTTGTTTCAGCATTTAAATCCCAAATCAGTTGGGGTAGGCTATATATGATTCTTTTATACTCTTCTGCTCAGGGTGTTCAGTTGTTTCATGCTATCAGTAGAAACACACGACGTGTGTAATACTGTCTATACTGATTCTGGATATGTGATGGTTGTGGATATCTTGTATGGTTCTCGATCTGTTAGCATTTAAACTAGTTCCTCCTGGCCCCTAAGAATGGTTTACCAGAGCTCGGGTAGATTCCTATGAGGTAATAGTTGCTGCTCTACGTGTTCAGTAGCTCAGACGTTCTTGATTGTTAAAATGTTTGTTGACTGTACGCACTGATATATGTATTGCTTCTTCATTAGACTGTCAATTGTGTCAATTTTTTTCTCTTTGATGCTTCTTGTTTCCAGCTTTGCACATTTGACTAAAAGGATGTGTTTAATCTCTTGTATGTCAACAAAGTCTAAAAGGATAGACTTTGTTTGATGTGTAAATTGTTAGCCTGAATGTGTCTTCTTTTTTTGAAAAGAAGATATTCTGTTTGCTTTTTAGCCGAGGGTCTATTGGAAACATCTTTACCCGTTTGCGTACATTTTACCCTCTAGACCCCCACTTGTGGGACTACATGGGGTGTATATTGTTGTTATTGTTGATATACCAACATGTTCAATTCCTGATGGTGAATGTTGGTCATGGTCAGGGACACAAGTTCCTTATGGTTGAGATTATATACAAGATCTTGGATAAGTGTAACCTTAGTTATCAATGAAGCGGGTGAAAAGTACGAGAAACTAGAGTCTAAATCCTAACTAAGACAAAAAGCTATAGGTGATCTCGTCTTGTCGGGCTAAATCTTGGTCTTATAGAGTTATCTAATGCATGTGCTTGTGGAAGGTAACAATATATCCGGAGTCAAGGTGTGCGTAAATTGGTCTAAATATCATTGTTATTGCTATATTCATGCCATTAGTGTCATTTTTTCTAAGTGGAGAAGTTTGTAGACCCAAAGAGCAAATGAATGGTGTTAAGGCCATGTGGTTAAGGGCTGCTAGTCTACAAAGGTGGACTCTTAAATCCAAAAAAGTGGTGTTTGTATGAAATTTTTGTCTTCTTATCAACAAGAAATAATATTAGTCAAAGATTCTATATATGCTTTGTGTGGCCTTTGAGAAATTTAAAGGGCAAAAAAACATGTATATGCAAAGTGATTGATTGATTGGTTGCTTTGTTGTGTTGAAAATTGTGGCTGTTAAGTCAACATTCTTTTTTTTTATTCGATATTCGATATCAGAATGTCTGATTAAATTTAAATTTACTATGAAAAGTGTTACATTAGGGTAAAACATTTCTCAACAAAGTTGTACCTAGCAGAGTTTGATATGAGACCTCTGCTTTAGGATGAAGAAGTATTCATCATTTCATTACAATTCTCATTGGCGAGTCAACAATTGACTTCGATAGAAACAAAGAATACTAGGTTATTTTTTTGCTTGATGCTTAAGCTTTACCCGATATTTATATTGGTGCGAGGCAAAATACAATTGTTAGTATCAAATAATAGATGTTTGATAAAATAATCGAGGTGTACCTAATTTGACATTAACACCATCATTATCTTAGTTATATAACAAAAAAGAGTGACAACTTCCATAGTATAGAGAAAACTCAGATAGCTTTATATATTAATCAACGTAAAAAAATCACATATAAAACTAACGTTTATTGGGAAATAAAAAAAGTAATGAAGTTTAATTCAAGAGAGAATTTAGTTCACCCACATATAGAATATAATGATCATATTTGGTCTAAGAAATATATATGTGTTAATACTACTGGATATATATATATATATGAAGGAGTACTTACCACTCTATCACAACCACTGATGGTTATATTATATTTATTATACTTGGAGATTTTTTTAAAAAAAAATTAGTAAATGTAGATTGAATCAATAAAAAGTGCCTAAAGTTATGATGGAAAAACTTTGAATATGAGAAATTAATAATAATGCTTTCCTTCTTTTTGATAAAAATGTTTTCCATCGTACCAAATAGAAAATTCTTCTTTTTTAACATGAAAATTTCTTTTTCACTAAAATTCGTTGATTGATTCCTATAAATTTACAATGAAAAAATTTGTATTCCTTATAACATTACTGAAGAAAAAATTAACCATAAATTCAAAATTTTTACATTCACAAGAAAACAAAAACCTCCCAAAACAGATATTAAAAATAAGAAAAATGACTTTCTCGAAAATATTTTCCTAAAAAGTGATTTTCCCACCTACCAAAAACACTCATAATTTTTGCTTTTTTGTAGCGAATTGCAAATTGGAGTTGTTACAAAACTTCCGCAAATGGGTCTTGTGGGGTCACAATTTTGATAATATAAAGTTCATAAAAACCAAAGAAATTCTCAAAGTTTAGTATTTTCTTGAAAAAGAATATTTGCATCTTAAGTCATCAAAAATACAAAAAAAATAAGAAAAAAACAATACTTGTACTTTCTTGTTACATGATAAAAAGCATCCCTTTGAGTTCAAGAATACCCCCTTTTTCTTCATCACAAAGTTCTTATTTTCACACCAAATAAAAGTTAAAATAAATAAATAATTTGGGATTTCAATTTATCCAAACTTTTTCAAGATCATTTATTCAAAACGAAACAATGTTTTCTTTCATTTGTTTACTTTTTGAGTTGGATTAATGAACTAGTCGTTAGGTTCATGCAATAAGGTGTGATACGCGATAACTTAGTCCCAGAGTTATAATATCAGGACTATATATAATTTCGAGATAATTTAATTTGCGAATCAAAGGATCAAGTCCAAAAAACATTATTAATTTGTTAGGTGATGTTGCTGACAAATAGATCTTTCTTTTCAGAGGTTTTGGTAAAAAGAACCTTTTGAATATTTATTTCAAAATCAATAAGTTGGAACCTAACCAATCATGAAGAAAGTGTCAACAACAAAACCAGCTGCCATATCATAATTTACCAATCACTTGTATAGGTGTAAAACTTAATTAATGAGATGTCTCAGATTCAATCTAAATATATAAAATATCACGTCTGTTAATTAGGGAACACTTTACCTTCTACGATTGATGTGACTTAACAATATGATCAAGATTTAATCGAGACTCCGATGCAGATATAATACATTGATACGCGGAAAACAAAAGAAAAACTCTACAATAGGGAAAAATAGAAATCAGAAACAAATTTTGTCGCTAAACAACCTGACATGTCACTATTAGTTACAAGCTATTTACCGACAGATCGGATAGATAAATAAACCGTGATTGATTCCACATTTTTTTTTGGTACTGAAGAGATAAAGTTAAAGAACCAATAAGGGAGTAGTTATCAATTTCACATTGTTGAACAACAAAAATCTATCGCTAATCCTATTTAAATGAATTATAAATAATTCGATTAGATACGGGTATTATTTACCAACAAATAGCAAAAATATTCGTCGCTAATACCTTTTTTTTTTATAAAAAAAAAGAACTTTCTTCTTCTAGTGAAAGGAGAAAAATGTTCAAAGGAGTAGGTTGAGTAAAGTTGATGAAACAATAAGGAGAGTAGTTATCAATTTCACACATGGATATAAGGGAGTTGATTTCTCATATGGTCATTCAACTAACCGTTATTATCTCAGAAAGTTACTTTTTCTGTTGAAGAAAATTGGAATCAAGAAAAATACGACTTCCTGAGATAATACTTATTAGTAAAGTGATCATCGGAGAAATTAACTCGGATATTATTAAAATCTAAAATTATCATGTCCTATTTGTTTGTCCTTCCCAATGGTTTTAGTATATATAAGAAGTGTTAACATAGTCTTAAAAAACTTACCAATGGCTCAACATGAAACTTCTTCTTGGTTAATTGTTCTTTCTCTTCTTTCAATCATTGTGTCCTTTTATGGTGTTTCTTGTGTAAATCTTGATCATGGAAATGGTTACATATCGGCTGTTGGCGATTCGGGGATGAGAAGGGATGGTCTAAGAGTTGCTATAGAAGCATGGAATCAATGCAATGAAGTTGGAGAAGAAGTGCCTAAAATGGGAAGTCCAAGAGTTGCTGATTGCTTTGATGTCTATAAAGCTTCTCCTCAATCACAAGGTAAGTTGAATTCCATGTTTCGAGTTTTCGTTAATGTTTTGGTATTTATGTTGTGCTAGTGTGATCTTGCTCACATTGTCGGTTTACAAACTTGAATGAAGGAAGATGAGATGTCAAGACGGTTATGATGAATCCTCGCAATACATAACTATCTTGCTTAAACGGAATGATATGATCAGTGAGGATTCATATAGCTGACCTGACTATAAGATTGAGGCATTGTTGTTTTGTTGTTTTCTCTAGATTGTCTTAAAGACATAATGGCTATTGCTATACAAGGACAAATAATTGTTCTCATTGCAATGCAATTCCATACATGTTGAACAACCAGAGGCGGAATCAGAATTTAAACTTAAATAGGTTCAAAATTCTGAGTTCTTCAAAATACAAGTTCAAAACATGATATTTATACTAGTTTTGGAGAATTTCCATATATAGATATGTAGTCCATACTGAAATTAACACATATCTCTCAAAAAATAGCTTAAATGTCACGACATGATCAGTAAGGATTCATATAGCTGACCTGACTCATGTACCTCCCAAAAAAGTAGTCGAGTTGTTGTTTTGTTGGTTTTTCGATATGTTGTGTTAAATATTTAATGTATATACTTTTTACAGGGGAAAATAATTGTTCTCTTTGCAATGCAATACCATACATG